GCTTCCATGCCGTGCCAACCACAGGTTGGTGCGGAAGGGACTTGTGTGTTTGTGGTGATGTGACATTTCTGGGATGACATAAAGTTGCACTCTGCACCCCAGTGCCAGGAGGGAGCTCACTACCCTCTCGTCCACCGAGGTGAACCTTTATGTACAGGTGCCAAGCAAGTATGAGCCCCAGCTTGGCACTTGTACAGTGGGCAACTCTCACCGTGGGCAACTCCAGAGTCGAAAAGAGTCCAACCCATTTCGAGAGCCCAAGCTGGTGTAAGTGTGGAGGTGAGCCCGATTATACCTAGTGCAGTGCTTATTAATTCTTTTCTCTTACGCCTCCCTAGAAACAAGAAAACATTTTGTTCCTGACGCTGCACCATCAGTAGGTGAATGAGGAGTCAGTGTGAAGCACTTTGAGCGCCTTGTAGGTGGAAAAGCACTATGCAAGTGAAAGTCCATTTACCAAGCCCATTAGTACATAAGTACACCTCTGCATAACATTGTACTCTGATTAACATTAAAGAAAACAAATAAGAAAAACATATAGATCAACTAACAACAATGAATACCTTTATTAACATTGATTTTTAAAAAATATTCTAAGTTCATCAATTTGGCTAAAATAAAAAAATATATACTTGAACATAAAGAGAGAGTGAGAGAAACAGAGAGAGAGCGAGAGAGTGAGCGAGAGAGAGAGAGAGCGAGAGAGAGAGAGAGAGAGAGAGAGAGAAAAAGGAAGAAAGAAAGAGGGGAAGGAGAGAGAGAGAGAGAGAGAGATAGCACCATTGCCACCTACTGTAGTGTGCAATTACACAAAAATGCGGAATGGATTTTGACATTTAAAACAATGACAGTGTTATATATTTTTGCGTGTGTGTGTGTGTGTGTGTGTGTGCGTGTGTGCGTGTGTGCGTGTGTTTGTGTTTCGGACATTAAATAAGCGATTGAGCATAATTTAGGGTGGAGTTGTGTTGATGTTAGTGTGCAACGTTATATGATAAGATGTAAGATAAGATAAGATAACCTTTATTTGTCTCACAATGGAGAAATTCCCAATTTACAGCAGCAAAATTATGAAAGGGAGAAATAGAAGAACAAAAAGTATATAAATAAATATACATGATAAAATATAAATATAAGCATATTAAAAATGGGTGAGTGGTGGTGAGTCCAGGTTTTCAGGTCTGTCTATTGAATAGCCTGACAGCAGTCGGCAGGAACGAGCGACGGTACCTCTCTCGTATAAGGTATAATACCAATTTGAATGAAGCAATGTTTTGGAATTTAAGTAGGATGCCAATAGTGAATCACTCGATAATTCATAAATCACGTATTATAGTGCTTAATAATATAAATATTTACAGTAATGATCTGCAGAGGTGTGAGAAAGTAGCAGCCATCAGCACACTAAGATTACTAAAGTTACTTCGATGAGACAGTGAAGTTGTTTTCATGCAACATTATGCCATAGTCACTGCCCACCCTCCAACACAACCACCCCCCTGCAACACACCCGTACACCTACTCATAGTTCAGGATTCCAATAAAACATGCAAAAAAATATTATTTGAAATGCTGATGCAGCAACAAGTGAGTGAAACAAAATTTGAGTCACTGCCAACTTTTTTTTCCCAATAAATCTTTATCTAACTGCAGCAAAGGGTTCCCGTCTTTTAGATATACTTTATTATTTATTTGATTGTCCGGGATTTCATTAGCTTTCTGTCGCTAGTGTATGATAAAGTATGTTTCTCAAAATGCACAACGTCATAAATGATGGCAGTTTTTAGAACTGTAATGGTACGGTTCGATAGATCATGAAGAATCTCTTTCTAAAGCAGGTTTCGGAAAAAGAACATGGATTATGCGATAGTCATTTCCCATAACCACAAAAAAGTTATCCATCCATCCAATTTCCGATCCGCTTATCCTCAGAAGGGTTGCGGGGGCAAAAAAGTTATCACTCACATAAATGTTAAGTGATACATGTGGTACTTGGGCTCCAAAGCACATCATCAAACAAATATTGTCAAAACATATTTTCATTGTATTTAGTCAATTTTTTCATCCTTAATGTCCATCTTTCAGGGTCTGAGTAAATTTGCTTAAATTGCCCATTCACTCGAACAACAGTTATTCACTCGAACGGCTAATTAATACTCTCCGCACTGAATGTCAGCAGACTGCAAATGTGGATGTGGTACCGATCATAATACATTTCAGGGTTCAGCCGCATCGCTCCATGAATCCCCTTCCCACACATGCGCATTTCGTCAAAATGGAATCCCAGAGAAAATGAACAGCAACCGACTTCTTGTGTCCCATCCATCCATCCATCCATTTTCCAATCTGCTTTATCTTCACAAGGGTCATGGGTGGTGCTGGAGCCTATCCCAGCTGTCTTCGGGCAGTCGGCGGGGGACACCCCGAATCGGTTGCCAGCCAATCGCAGGGCACACAGAGACGAACAACCTTCCGCGCTCACACTCACCCCTAGGGACAATTTAGAGTGTTCAATCAGCCTGCCATGCATGTTTTTTGGAATGTGGGAGGAAACCGGAAAACCCGGAGAAAACCCACGCAGGCCCGGGGAGAATATGCAAACTCCACACACAGAGGCCGGAGGCGGAATAGATCCCTGCACCTCTGCACTGTGAGGTCGATGCGCTAACCACTGGTCCACCGGCACGCCCTTCTTGTGTCCCTACGGTGCCAAATGTGTATTGCACGAGGACCAACTGCAGATGTCACACTTTTAACTAGAATCTATCGGCGATGTTCTGTGAGTCCAAACCGAAATTATGTCATCATTTGAGATGCCCAAAATAAACAAATCAATCTTACCCAGCAGTAACTACATACTATTTATTCTGCTCATCTGAAATATATTTATTTGTAAGTGATTTTATTATAATATTTCATTTTCATTATTAAAGTTGTGCACTTTTTAATGTGACCTTGGGGCACCACCTTCTCACTCTCTATTGACGTGGAGATCATTCTGAGAGTTTTTCACCATGGAAAATTTGAGAAAAATTTGAAGTGATGGAATTGGAAGTTTCAGCGGAAGAGTCTAACAAAAATATGACTGAGTTACATAAAAGAAATGTATTGCTTTGAGAACCCTGGTCAACAAATTTTTGCTGAACTTTTTAATCAGAGCTGCAAGTAATCTTTTGTAGATGATTTTTTTTTCTTTAGCACATTAGATTTTCATCATAGTTATAATACAACAACAATAATACAATACATAACATGATATATTTGGTATTATTTGTGAATTATGGGTTTGGTTCAGCAACAGGTGGATTTTTTTTTTTTTTTTTTTTTTTTTTTTGCAACGTCATAGCTATAAATTACAACAAAATCTATATTGGCCAAGATTTTATTGGTAAAATAAGAAGAAAATATCTGAAAAACCTGATGTATTGTTAAAAAAAAGTCAAGACAGTGTCAAAAATATATATCAGGACGCATAAGATTTTTGTTCCAGCCGCTGTTGTGAGAGCGCTATATAAATAGAGATGTGTTGTATCATATTGTGAAATTAGCTGTTGCCTAGTGTCGTTTTAGGGAAGCCAGCAGCTACATAAAAGCCATGTTTTGTTGATTGAACTCATCTTGAGAGTGTGAAAAATGGGTGTTTAGAATCTGCCCACCCCGCATAAATCTTGGCACAACATTTGAAAAGAGTGGCCAGCATCGATTATGAGGTGACACACCAATTTTAGGACTTGCAATTTGCTTGGCTAAAACTTATGAAAGACTTGATTTTAATTGGACTTAAACAGCTTTACTTGACAATTCATCCTGTTTATCTTGGAAAATCTGAATTTTTAAGGTAGAGGACCTTTTGTTTTTGAAAGAAATGTGGTTTTTTTGGGGGGGGATGGGTGTTGGGTTTTTTTTTTTTTTTTGTGGGTCATGCACACTGCAAATGCTGCAAGCCCAGTCAAGGCTCAGAGGCAGTGGTTCTTAACCTTGTTCGAGGTACCTATCCCAACCAGGTCATTTGCACGTCCACCGAACCCTTCATTAGTGAAAAATAAAAATATCATTTTTTTACAAATTCAAGACATTAACAAAAAACAAATTTATGAAAAACTGAAATAAAGTACATAAAATTACATGGCATAAGTACAGGATTTTTAAATTGTATGACGTACTATCACGACAGTCACATGGTGACTACTGAGCGAACCAAATTTCGCGCATGCAATGTAATGTGATCATCTGCAGCCAGCAATGTCCAAGCGGGTGTGTCATAACTAATTGACATCTTGGTGGCAGAGGCTCCGTCGAACCCCTGAGACCGATTCACCGAACCCCTAGGGTTCGATCGAACCCAGGTTAAGAACCACTGCTCAGAGGGATCCAGAAAGGATGATTACATTTGGATTAAAAAAAAAAAAAACATGCAAGGTTTGCAACTGTGCGTGAGGACGGAAAACCATGTCGCATCATGGTGCGACGCGTAAGGTGGGCGTGCGCCCTCAAATTGTAAATATATAATTTGAGAGTAGCGTCGCTGTGACGTCACATGAAGCATCCAATCGAAGACGGAGGAGGCAGAATGATTTCCTAGTAGTAACAGCAACAGAAGCTGCTATGCAAGCACTTCCAAATGTGAGCACGCTTGCTTGCGTGCTTGCGCGCTACCCTGCGGCAAACACCAAGAAAACCAAATGCAGTTTGGAAAGCCCTGAACTTGGGATTTGCTTGAAACTTGCAGTTTAAGACTTCAGAATGTCAAAATCAAACATTGGCTTTGTCAAGACAGTCACGGAAAGTGCAATGATAAAGTGAGAGGGATCAAATCTTCAAGTCAATGATGAGATTCAGACAATGAACAACAGTGGAAATTTTTAAAAAAGGGGACAATTTGCTGTCGCAAATGCTGCTTGCTGTGCTGGTGGGGTGCGAAGGAAGTGATCGTGTCGGATGAATAACGGACTTGAGGACAGACAAGCAAGTAAATAAAAAACAGGACAAAGCATACTCACAGTGTAACTCCTTAAATATCCCAGCTTTAGTTCGTACAAGACAGAGAGGAGATTGTTTAACCAAATGCTGGTGTAATGAGGAAAGTTCAACATCAAAACTGATCAATGCTATCCAGAACCAACAGCATCGCCTGCGGGTGTTTTTGTAGTCAAAGAATCGGGATTTTATTTATTCCTGAAATGCTCTCAGGTGAAATGTATTATGCATTCTGTATTCAGGCAAACCTGGCAAAAACATAACCATTTTACATCAACAAGAGATGTATTTTTAAAATGTATGCAGCTGGCTGACAGTTAACAGAGCAGGTGCCCTATTCAGAAAGTCAGAACGCTGCTTTTCAACCAGATATTACATAGCTCCTTTTTCCAAAAAGGCACCACAACATGAAAAATTTTGCATGAACAATTGACACAATTGCATGTAAATAGGAAAACATGTGAGGAGTCTTCCATTTAGGCAATTAACTCAGAGATTAGGAAAAACACGATTAAAAATAAAAAACATTTGAAGAGAGGCTTTGAGACATAAATTGTGTATGTATTGCATATACAGACTTCCGAAGGACGCTAACATTCCTTTCATCACTTAAACAAAACGTGGCTATACAAGTGACCATTTCAAATCCCCTAATAGTGCTTTCACGTAGCCGTTCATGACCAATACGATGAGCTCGAACAATTATCAATCTGGATTTTATTCCTTTTTTTATTTTTTGCACGTAAAATGACATATTCTCACAACAGTGTCTCATTTTCAAATCTGGTCTGCAAGGTGATTATTATCCACCCTAAAAAAAAAAAAACTGCAAAGAAATATCATGCCATTGTCTTTTGGATAATTTTGTTGCGATTTTTTTTTTTTACCTTGTTCCTCTTGAAATAGGCTCTGCGGCAGGCAGCAAAGCACTTCTCGCTGCAGAAACTCTTCAGCTCACTCCCCATGCTCAGAGAGTAGCGTTTGACACCGATTTTCTGGCACCAGGCGCACATGATCTGTACGCTGGTTGCATCTTCATCTGTTGGAAAAACATGCAGTTGTGATGGTTCGTTACAGATACAGTCAGTGAGGAAGCAAAATAAATGGGTAAGGCCGACATTTATCCTCGGGGTAAAAAAACAATATTGCAGTACCCTGAAAAAGTTTTTGTCCATCCCTACATTGGTGTTTCTTTTTTTTTTTTGCTCTTACATCTTTCACAGCAGTTGCTTTCAGAGTACACATAGTAAAACGGTGACTAGTAGGGCAGATGCAGTTCCAAGGATTACACAAAAAAGGTTCCCACAAAATTTAGTAGAGGGGCGATGCAAGGGGCAAGGACAGATCTGGAGAAATGTGCAGATAAAGGAAAACATTTATATTGTGTGGGTTTGACTGACATCAGTGTAAAATTGATATGACTACAGTATGTGCTTACTCACTCCAAGTAGAAGCTGGTGGGAGGCACAGATCCAGCCATGCTAGATTTGCTTAAAGGGGAAGTCAACCCAAAAATGTTTTTTACAATAATATGTTGTATGTGCCTCCATTAGTCTAAAAACGGCATTCTGAGTAATATAGTGTTTGTGGAATATGAGGTAAGCAACAAAATCAACCCCTTTTCATCCATCTCAAGGGGCGGCAAATTTGCGAGTTGCTGTTGACTGAAAATGACGTCACAGTTGTTTGGTAATTAGGTCATGACCAATCACGGCTCACCTGTTTTCGGTTGAGCTGTGACTGACACGAATATGTCAACAGATGTCACGATTGCTTGGAGCTTTCGTCGGCTCGCCGCTGGCTAATTATTAGCGGCTAAAGTGCTAATGTTTATATGGGCAGGCTGGGCAAACTCTGCTCGCGTTTTCATGATTTTCATCTCATCGCTTGTTCAAATGATTCAACAGGTTTGTTGTATTGATCTTGTTTTTGACAGCACAACCTCCATGTCGCTCTGGAGATGCCGCCACACAAGCAATGGGAAGGAACTTCTCTTGTCAATTTTAATCTTCAGAAGTTTACTCTGCCCATTAGCTACGCGTTTAGCGGCACATTCGGTCATTTTTAATATTAGTTTCTGTTTACTGCTTTCTTTTTTTTTTTTTTAACTGCATTTTTTTCCACAAAAAAAAAAGCGGATTATTTATTTGTTTATTTATTTATTTGTTTGTGTGAGGAGGATCTGTCTCAGTGCGGCTTGGTACCAAATGGCCCGTCGCCCGGTGGTTGGAGACCACTGATCTCACTAGAAGGCTCGATAATATGCATATGCAGCATTATTTGTCTCATTGAAAAAATTGTACGGTGCTGGGAAATACTGCTTTACTTGAGTCCTGTAAAAGGTGCTTGAGTGTGCACAAAGGGATTTTTTTTTTTTTATGCAGCTGGGTGGTTTTCTGCCACCGATATAAGTCAATCAAACTTAATTTTACTTTATTTTGTAGGGTCTATATGAATGTCCTGGCTATGATTCTTCAATCCACACAAGTACAAATCTGTCTCAAATGTGTTGTGACCTTCCTGACCTCATACATCATCCCCCTAAGACATGTCTATCCATCATCACTTTGCATAACTCCGTCAATTTATTAACTTACTAATGACAATGATATGTGATCTCTAGCTTGCACTTAGACTCGACAGAGGTAAAAATAGACAGGCAGCAGTTGCTCACTTCATGTGAAGAGACTGGTTGCAACAAAGATGCCCGTCTTCTTCCTGAGTGTGGTTGAGATGCCCTTTCATTCTGACATGTTGAAATTGCCTCTATGCCCATCGAATGCATTTGTGTATGCATTTGGGATAATGGATAAGCTTCTACAGATGTGCGGTGGAGAGCGTCCTGAGCACCAGCACCATGGCGTGGCTCAGCTGCTGCACTGCCACAGAAAGGAAGGCTCTTCAATGGATGATAAAGGCTGCTCAAAAGATCATAGAGAAAAATAGCCCCCCTAAAACCACCAGCAGATTAGGAAAGTTGGCTTTCTGCATCATGAAGGTCCAAACCAACTGTCTTCCATCCCTTAGCCTCAGGCATGAGGCTAGGTAGCATCCAGTTTTAAGAGTGCATGCATATTCATCCCCGCACACTGACTACTTTATTATTGAACACATCATTATTTTTGTCAAGTCCAAATTGACCTCATAAATCTATCCATCCATGCATTTTCCGATCTGCTTATCCTATCAAGGTCACAGGGGGTGCTGGAGCCTATGCGAGCCATCTTCGGGCAGTAGGCGGGGGACACCCTGAACAGTTTGCCAGCCAATCGCAGGGCACATATAGACACACAACCATTCGTGCTCACACTCACAACTAGGGACAATTTACAGTGTGTTCAATCAGCCTTCCATGCATGTTTTTGGAATGTGGAAGGAAACTGGAGTACCTGGAGAAAACCCACGTAGGCACAGGGAGGCCGGCGCTGGAATTGAACCAGGTACCTCTGCACTGTGAGGTCATATATAACATGTGAAATCCAAGCCTCTCACATTTTCATTCTGTTGCAACCACACCTTTGCGGCATTGCATTCTTTGCACACAGGCACAACATTATTAACTCATATTCAACAAACAGCAACTCCACACAGGATGGCCGGAGCCGGGAATCGAACCCACGATCTCTGCACTGTGAGGCAGACTTGCTAACCATCCAAACACCGTGCCGACCAACATGAAATCTACTGTGATGCAATATTGACATGATTTATTATGCAGATCTCAAAAGTTAAAATGAAAACTCTGAACTGTATTTTGTACAAAAAAAAACAAAACAAAACAAAAAAAAAAAGACTGAAGATTACTGACATTATCAACATTCTATATATTATTTTAATATATTTTAAACCTTAAAGGCCACACCTCTTGGCTAATGTATGCTATAACCCACGGTAATTCATTTCCAGTTCCGGTCCTTTCACAGCCGTGAGTGAATATAATTTTCGCTCCTGACACTTATTAAATTGCCTGCTATTTGCTGTTTAAAGTTGAATGCGCTCCGCTTTAATGGGGTTCCAGATAGACTTCTGTGAAAAGATAGAAGTGATTCTATACCACATGTAGCTTAAGTTTTTTTGCTAACTAGCTGGTGTGGCATAAGTAGCACCAAGCTTGATTGTACTGAACAGCGGAGAACTGCGAAGATGGGTGACGAGGATGTGCACGATGAACATATCGTGCACATTGGTGTTTTTCTTTCAATCGAGATGGTGTTGATTTCATCTTATTTACTTTCAAAAGTTGTACTGGCCCAGTCGGGCTAATATTTGTAGTATCTGGTGTCGAATTGACCATTTGCTTTCGCTGCCTACTTCCCACGCATAGCTGACGTGAGGTCCACATTGACACACATGCGTCCAGCCCCATGAAGCTTTAGGGACCATCTACGTGGATTAGAAAATCCACGTAGATTCTCAGTTTTGCTATTCACTGTGTTTTTATGAGGCACAAAATATTAATTTGAACGAACAACCTCCAATGCCAAAAAGCTTATTTCAAGTCTTGCATTAAAATGTCCAAGTATACCTAATGAAGCAGCCAGTAAAAATACAAATATCTTTAATTCTTCCAAATGTTTTATGCTCTCATTAAAATGTATGTAGCCGCAATGCTCCATGCGGTTAATGTGGACAACAAATAATTTGAAGAGACCCTCAGTGACACTGAAAAGACTCTTTGGTTTGAAGCTGTGGCTCTGTGACCAGTGATGAGCTGCAGGCTTTTAGTGCTGATACTGTTGTGAAGAAAGATCTCCTGAGAGTCTCTCTGTCTCCCAGTTTTCACATTATGACTATGCGGGTGTGAAGAAAAAAGCACAGCCATTAGTCGCTTGCCCCAGCTGACCCCCTCATCACATGCTGGCCTGGTTTTTCACCTCTTCTTGGGATTAATGCACCTGTAGGCTCACCTCATTTGAATTTAAAGACTCGCAATTTAAAAAAAAAATCACTCTCCGGGTTGTTAAGATAGGACAATGGACCCCAAGTGCATAATTGATATTTCTTCTCAGTTTGACATGTAAATCTAAGAGCCTTTATCCTTCTTTTATATGTGTCCTATTTCTGGATTCATGCCCACCGCTGAGAATAAAAAGCACGATTGACTGTGTAAGTAAATTGCTTGGAATAAATGAATGGGCTACAGTGTAATGAACAGGAGCGAGGGTAAACGTGGATTCACAATCCAGTACGTTCTTTTTTTTCCCCCATGAAAAAACAACGGTGGATTGTTTTGCAATGTTCTACATCTGCCTGGCATCTTGTAAAAGAAGGCCATCTTAAACAGATCTGCATGAGTCGGGGAGTTATACTCTGACAATTAATCAGACAATCCTGATATATGTATAAGAACCTGCACTTCAAAAGAGTCTTTGTCAGATTTTGCAAGGTATATGAATAATTCAGTGTATGCGTGGGGGTTGAGGGGAGAGAGGTTCGAAGGGGTTGTTGGCCGAGTACTGGGCTTTAAGTGCCACTGCACCATCTGTTTCTGCTCTGCCAAGGCAGGGCCAGTGGGGACTCCTCTTCAGCGATGCCAAGGCAGCTCGTACCTTCCACAGGGCGTAACAACCTCCTGTGCAACAACAGACGCAAGAGATAATGATGCCGCTGTCTGGTCGGAGAGTGCGGACATTTCCTTGGAGAGTTTATGGGGCAATATTGACACTTGGAGCAGGTGGAGAAAAACAAGGTGTACAGCAGGTAGCTAGCTCATTAGACACCTGTCCCTGCTGTCTGCCCTGGAAACAGGGTAAGTTTGAATGTTGAATTCACTATTTTTATTGCCTCCAGCTTGCGATAGACTACAGTGGAACCTCAGAGGTTGGACTGCGCTGAAGGTGTATAACTATAAACTCAACCATCATTTTTATTAAGGAATAACTGGATCCATTTTTCCTTCATCGGCTTGGCTTTTTAGAGCTTTTTTGCAATTATTCCAAAAGATGGACCGCCATCAGGGATGAGGTCACAAAAGATGTCAAAATACCCCACCCGATGTCAGGTCAGCCTTTCGTTGTGTAGTCTGTCTGTTCTTTATGTCTGTGTGGGCTCTCTCTGTGGCACACAGCTTCCTCCCACAGACCAAAAACATGCAACCTAGGTCATCTGAAACTCTGAATTGGATAAATCGAAGAAATAAGAACTTGAGTCATTGCTACTTGAACTCGTGTCAACACGTATCACTATGACTTGTGGCTCGACTTGACAAAAAATTAAGACTATGGGCCCTATTTTCATGGCCAGTGCAAATCTAGCTAGTGCAAAGTGCGGTCTAATTGTGTGCATGGATGTAATGTTGTTTCTTCATATTTTCAAAGGGACGGGTACACAGCCAACTTGCTTTGCAGCAAATGAAAAAAGCTCCTCTCATTTCCTTTAAATTCTGCGCAGGAGAGGCACTGGTGTCCATGCAGAAAATTTAAGCGCGCAAAGAATGTTTCTGTGAAACTGCAACAAGATCTCCACTTACGGATGATGTAAAGTTGGCTTGCACAATCACAGATCACCGCTATGAAGTGGGCACTTGGAGCCTGCTTTCCACCTTGATGGATCGAGTCCATGTGTGAGCCCTACCTTCAGCCACCAAACTGTCAGATGCGCCGGGGGCATGGAAAAGAAAAGACCCTTGATCCGCCGGAACACCCAGCATAAATTCCCAAACACGCTAAACAAGGCTTGCACCTGCATGCCCGACGACTATGAAGAAAAGAGCCCTTCAACTTGGAATTAATTTGAGGCGTTAAACATGCAACATACCTTTTTCTTACTATATATATATATATACAGGTATATATACTGTATATATGTTTGTGCAAACCAAAGTGCTCTTAAAAGCTGCGCCTACCTTTTGGTGGCTTGATCAGTGGCGGGGGTAACACTGGGACAGCGACGGGCTGGTTGCCATGTTCCTTGGTGCTGGTTGTCGAGGTGGATGGCGTGGTGGGGTGTTCTGAGACTCCGTTTCTGGAGTTTGGCAGACACTGAGAGCTGTTGGCTAAATCCGGAGACACATCGTTGCTCCGTCTTGAAGTTGGAATTTTTGGCAACAAGTTTTCTGTGAGGGGAATAGAAGGATGCTCTTGAACTCACTGCAAGTCCATCCATCATAACAGAGCTAAGGAACTTAAAATGTGAAATTATGGGGCAACTTTGTGTTCGGTGAATGTCAGAATCGTGCATTTTTCTCGCAGTGAACGTTGGCCTTGAAAGTAACTTATAAATAAAATAAAGGGCAGGTATTTTCTTTAAAAAAAAACAAAAAACAAAACAGTGCTATATTGTAATATGCATTTTGGGCCTAGTTCAACCACAAAAACCTGTGGCTTCAAAGAGTGCGTAGAAAAGGTTCTAAATTTGCTCATACGACTGAAATTTATAGTGTGAATGAGAACAAATAAAATCTGTATTTCTTAAATGCGGACCCTGTCATACGCACACCAATAGGCAATGTGTTGATAAATCCCGCCTGTTCTAGACTGACACGCTCGCGGACGTGTAGCTTCAAATGCATTGAGAAACGTCTCCTATTGACCATATATAGTAGGAATCTCTTTCGGAAATCCAAAAGCATGGCAAAAAGGGCAGAGAGATTCTCTGAGATTGACATTGAGTTACATGTCCAAGAAGTGGAAACAAATGAATACTGTTTGGAACAATTAATGCAAGTGTTACAAATAAAAGAAAAAAAAAACACAGTTGGACATCAAATAAACATGTCACTGCCCACAGATGAGAATTATCTCTGATTAACTGGGGGAGGATGAGCAAGCTATGTGGATCCCCGTGTTGCAAGCTGGGGACACGTCACTGCCTGCCCACATCAGCTTGTTATTGGAAGCGCACATCCACAAAGCTTTCCTGTAGAATGACTGAATCCTGAATTCCTCTAAGCCAGGGGTTGGGAACCTATGGCTCGCGAGCCATATATGGCTCTTTTGGTGATTGCATCTGGCTCGCAGATAAAAAAAATATATATATTCTCGCTTGTTTATTAATGTATCCATCGATCGATTTTTCAATGCTCATTTCCTCGTTCGGGCTGCAGTTAGCTCCAGGAGCCATTTTGATTGGATGATACTGGCCAACATTGCCGTTGCTGTGGAAACAGGCCCCCTTTTGAATCAACCCGCTCGGCCATTAGCTCAAAGCTAATCCTAAGCGAATAAGATGGCCTTTGGAGTGTCATTAAACAGCTTGAAGCCTCTTTTTTGAAGGACTGTTCACCATTTGCCAAAGTGCTACTCTTGTTGAGTTGAGTTCACTGCCACTGTAGAGCATTCATATTTCAAGTTTAAACTTGCCAGCCAAAGCAAAAAAACATAAATTGAGTAACAGCTCATATCTCCCCAAAAATGAATGTTGGGTTACACACTTATCTCAAGGCACTACTGTGTGTTTGGGAGTATTGTCATATTTTTTGTCTACATTTGTTGCACTGCCATTTATGTTCAAATATCAGTTGTTTAAAAGGTCATAACGCCGCGACACATATGCTATTGCTTAGCCAGTGTGTTGCATTTTTCATTGTTTATGAGCATTAACCAAATGGACCTTCCTAATGCTATAAGGTCAGACCAAAAGCAAATTGTTCAATTCTTGCCACGCACTTACACATGAAAGTCAAAGCAATTCACATAGAAAAATGAGAATCCATACTCGGCGGCACAATTGACATTTTTAAGGGGCGCAAATGGGTGGCGAGTACATTTATACAAGTTGGTAAATTGGAGCAGGAAAACACACAACGCGTTGCGACCGGCATAAAGAATCTACTTATTAAGTCTTACCCACACAGCACACACACACACACACACACACACACACACACACACACACACACACACACACACACACACACACACACACACACACACACACACACACAGCACACACACTTTGAGCTGGCATACACAGCACATGCACTTGGCATCCTGTGCAGGTAGCACAGAGAAACAATGATCAAACAACTGATCAAAATAATCATTGCAGTCTTCAGGCACCGGGAGTTGTACAAGACAGACAGCTTCCAGTACTCGGACGGAGCCAAAAAGGATCAAGCTTGGAGAATGGAAAGTGAATACATTGGTGTAGCTGGTAAGTGCATTTACATATTTACAGCTTTTGAATTGTGAACCATGATAGCAATATCATTTAACATTAGCCAAAGTTTTAGAACACCGGCCACCTGATTAACTAGCGATGCTCATACTTTTGTCTTTGTCTTTGTTTTTAAGTCAGAGGAAACGGAGGAATGCCTCCTCTTCTCTGTTGTGGCGTGGCACGAATGAAGCAGGTATGTTTGTTAACACTGTATCCCCTAATCAAACTCATGTGAATAATGCGAGGCAAAGCATCGCATCACCTTTGGTGTGAACAGAGCATAGGGCAAAGCTATGCGGTTTGGTTAAATACACAATGTGTTATTATCTTTTTGATGTGTTTATTGTCTTTTAGTTTTGGCAGGAAACTTCAATTGGAAGTGGCAAAAATCAACTTGACGCATCCTCCTGTTGAAAGAACTGTTCACTAGTATGTGCCAAACTGCTGCTTCTTTGTGACGTGAGTTGAGTTCAATCGGATTTCAAATTTGACTCAGCGGGCCTCCTCGCTGGCCCTTGATGACTTCGGCATTTTAAGGTCCTCGGATTGGTTCGTCAGAGCAACAACCATAACGGCCAACTTCAACTAACAAAACACAATTATTGCAATCTGCACAAAATAATACCAAACATTTAATAATCAGCATTGCTGGTGAGTATGATGTATTTTGTTTGCATTGGTTGTTTTTTTTGTTTTTTTTGTCACCTTATTAGCTATGGCACTGTTGCATGCTATTATACTCCATTTTCATTTATCATTGATGGTTCCTGTAATTGCAACATGATGGTGGTGGTATTAATAGTTGGATTAAGTCGGACAAGGGTAAGGCCCAGGGATACCAAATGTAGGACTTGCCCGCCACTGTAACTTACAGTACATTTCAGTGTCATTAATGTGCATCTCTCATCAGTGTTAGTGTCTTGCACCTTTAAGGACAGAGATGTGCTGTGGCGTTTCGCCTATATCCAAGTTGTCCGAATCTCTCAGCTCCACCTTGTCGTAGCCATACCACCCCAGCAGTTCATTCATGGTGTTCTCTGCAAAGCTCTGCATACAAACAAAAGGATGATTAGCAATATCAGTATTTGTCAATTTGTGGGGTGTGTGACAAAATATCAAGCATCATTTCAGAAATTACAACAATAATATATATATATAATAAATTGCAATTTTATTTTTATGATTAGGAAGTTTTACAAGCATTTTACAAAGTAAGTGTATTTTCTCTTTAGTTTTGCTTCCCTGTGTCTAAGTGTTTCTTTTATCTATAGTGTGCTGTGCTAAACTTAAACTGTTATTAAATGCAAAGCTTTTCAATTCTGTGTCAGAGCATTGTTAATGACCACTGACGGTGCCTATTGATCTGTATTGTGGTTTCAAATACCACAATGGTGGCTTGGACAATGGGCGGATGTGACATGAAGGTAAGCCACAGTCCAAGTCACAGTAAGATGATGTTGGAGAATCCCATTCATGAACATTCAGCGACGTATTAGTATACCCTTCTCAATTGTGTGCTATTTGCAATATGAAATAGCTTTCCAAATGTGAATACCTTCATGATCACATAACACAAAAGCATTCCAAAAAAAAAAAAGCTATGTTTCTCCAGCCAGTTTTAAACCCAAAATGCATCCCTTCCCTTTTGACATCAAGTCCCTATCTGCCTTATAAAAGTCCAAAAAGATGCCCAAGTATTGTGATATTGTAATGGGGCAATAGAAAAACAATCTGATGAGGTATCCTCCTTATACTTATGCAGAGTTGCCATTGATCAATATTGAGCGCAAAGTTTCTGAGTGAGTGTCAAAATGCACACTGTCAGACACAACCACAGCATCAAATCAATGCTTTCCATTGAATAATAGAGTAGCAGTCACATTAAATGTAAAACAAAGCAGCGAAGAGGAAAAAGGAAAACATCCTTTTCTTTCGGTGTCTCCCAACACCCTGTCCCTTGTGTCAACCCACAACTTGGAGAAAGTGGGAGGATTATAACGAGTGGAATCTAATCCTGGTTGGCATCTCATCAAAGCAGAAGCACAAACTTGGGCTCTGGGCAGCTACAGACGAAGTAGCTAGGCAAGAAGCAGCCACCGACGGGTTTAGTATAATAGTATACAGGGTATATACAGTAATCATCGTTGATATGTGATGGTCGTCCACCAATAACTTCAAGCAACAAGTGGCCCTGGCTATACACTTAATATAATGTTTCCCAATCTTTACTCAGCCAAGGCACCCATTCTACATTGGAAAAATGATGGCACACTCCAAAAAAAAAAAAAAAAGGCACAAAAAGTATGAATCCTGATGTAGAGATAATCGTGTCTCATTTTACTCACAAATTTACTAAGTGTAAAATGCGTGTCTGTTTAATTAAACACTAAGATAATAATACTCACAGGAACCCATGACTTATTCTGTTCTCTGAATGGCAACAGGTGGATATTTCGGTTTATTGTACATTTTGTCATCTAATAGATGAGCATTTAATCATCCTGCCTCCATACGATACAGCCGGGGTCACCAACGTGATGTGGTGCCCACAGGCATCAGATAGCCCCCCAAGGACCACATGAATAATACGCAGGATGGTTTTAAAAATAGCGTACCAGTGATGAGGCATCCTGATTTCTTTTGGAATGTTGTAGAACTGATCATTTGAAAACATGACTACAGTACTGGCAGATGTTCATGAAAATTAAGTGTTGCACGTTGATCTTCATCTGTTCCTATTATTGTGAGAAATCATTAGCATCAGTGTTTTCACATAAATGAATACACTTTATAAACAACATATAATAATATCCAGGCATGTAACCGGCGTTTCGTATTCAGAAATGTAACTGTATTTCATTACAGTTACAGAAAAAAACAAGCACTCAATTTATTGGTACATTTACAAAAATGGGGATTATTTCGCAGGATTACGTTCTCCACGCGAAACAGAGTGACAGCGTTGTTTATTTGAACCCTCATTGCAACAAGTGGATCAATTGTCATAATTGTTGTGTACCGGTAACGCAAAGGACAAAAGGGTGTACATGTACAGTTGGGAAGGTGGGGCAACTGGCCATGTCGTGTCCTCCACATCAGACCCGTCACCAGAGCCCAGCCTTCAGGGGGGCATACGAAATGCATGGCGGGGCCCAATTATGAATACCCTACAGACAGCTCTTACTCGGCTCCATATATTTGCATATTCGCGTAGCACTCCTAGTCAATAGTCTTGAATGGCGCCCTTTGGCAAGTGTTACCATAGACAACATTTACAGTTGACGACTTCATGAGTACGTCGATGCCACAGCCGTTTTGGATGTGGCAAGATGAAGCTATTTGTGAAGATGACTCGTTCACTTGGTCCTTGGGGGATGTGTCATCAAGTAAGAATTCACTGAATGAATCCTGAACCATTGCTTTTGATTGTATAATGTCATTCTAACTCAAGTTTACAAATAATTGTTGCCAGTTAATGGCGAATACAATGGCCATATCCAAATCCGTGGCTTCTTCTATGAAACAGGTTCAAATGACTCTTTAGTTGCCAACATGAATTGAATACGTCCCTCCACACTTGCCGTAGTGTGACGCACCATGACAGTCTAAACATGTGCTGTAGGAAATTAAATGTCGCCTAAAGTCTGAAAACCGTGAACTGTAGTCACCAAAGTTTATGCTGATATCGCTACTTATCAGGGATGTGTGGTCAGAGCAGGCAGGTGAGGCAGAGCCTCCTTGTCGCCTGACCTGCATGTGAAGAATAAAAAAAAAACAAAAAAAACAAATAATGACTGCATTAAATTGTTTTTTATTATTTTCCATTTTAGTTCCCTACTCCGTGCTTTATATTGATTAGCTTTTTCAATCGAATAATGAATTTGCATAATTCCTGTTCAAATACATGCATGAGAAGGGAACAGGGGATGTGACAGTCATTGCACCCTAAGTGCCTCAAGCGACTACGCACGCATGAATTGAAGCCAGGGGCATGCAGTGGGCGGGGCCAAAGGAGCGATGGCCCCGGGATCCACTTGAGAGGGGATTCATCCACAACCCCCTGAGAGAGCATCAAGTTGGAACAAGTCGACAAAAAAATATTTCGAGGAGATTGAAAAAAGGCATTTACTGCGCTTCGCACGCCACTTATTGATGCAGGCAATTATTGGTGTGTGCTCTCACACAAAAGACATTGCTGTTTCTCTTTAGCTCGCCAATATACCGGACATGTTTTATCACACATTTACTGCACATGCTGACATTCAACAGCCTGTCATGAACATGTGCAACACATTTAATCTTTCTGATCGGCCAGAAAAGCATCTGAAAATGTGAGGGGTTCAGGGTGGGGTCGAAAAAGTATGGTGCCGCTGCTGGCAGGTGGCAGTGCTAATCTCCACCGCCGCAGTGTGTAGAGGAAGCGAGGTGTGTAATTGATGGAAGCATCATAAAAAGCTTTGAAAACAAATACAAATTAAAATATAGGTTAATCAACTAGTCCGCACGTCCGCCTCATGGTGCAGAGGTACAGAGTTCGATTTCAGCTCCAGCCTTCCTGTGTGGGGCTTGCATGTTCTCCCTGTGCCTACGTGGGTTTTCTCTGGGTGCTCCGGTTCCCTCCCACATTCCAAAAACATGCATGGCAGGCTAATGGAACACTCTAAATTGTCCCTGGGTGTGAGTGTGAGCACGAATGTTTTTTCCTCTGTGTGTTCCCTGTGATTGGCTGATAACCATTTCAGGATGTACCCTGCCTACTGCCAAAGACAGCTGGGATAGGCTCCAGCATGCCTGTGACCCTTGTGAGGAGAAGCAGATTAGAAAATGGATGGATGGATAAGTGGATGGATGGATGGTTAATCAACTATTTTAGGTTCATATTTTAATATCCGACCCAAGAGAAGTGACAGCCTCACCAGCCATGAACCTCACCACACGTCACTGGCTATGGGCAATGTTTGTGAAATGGTTCCGATTGCCTCTTCTCTCAGCTTCACAAGCGCGTTATTGTTCTCCACCCCTGGGCAGCTTTCTGGTTTCCTGGGCAGTTACACCTGTGACTGTAAATCTAGCCAAAAGCCAAATTTGAAACGGAGTGTTGATATTCAGTTACCTATTTTTAGAAAACTCAATGTGACAGGACACATCCGGGCAACAAAAAACAACTGTCAGTCAAATGTTCCAAAACTTTTGCTCATGTGAAAAATGGGCGGGTTCAAAAAAACAGGTGCTACCTTTCATAGCTGTGTATCAACTCCAGATGTAAATACCTTGAAATTAAGGATGGAATGTTGCTCTTTTGTCTCATACTGTATCCAATTTGCCAAACCCTTTTGGTCTACAGCAAAAATAAAGGAATTTGCCCCACACTGTTTGAAATTTTTTTCAGGTGGGTGGACATGTTTTTGGACTGTGGAGGGCACAGCAAGAATTAGAACACTCCATACAGTAAGACGAAAAGCGCAGATTTGAACAGAGATACTTCTTACTCTGAGGTGAACTTGCCAAGTAGTATTCCTCAGCCCTGTCATGAAAGACTGAAGTGATCCCTTCACTTTTCCTCTAGCACCACCATGAGGTTGGCATGTGATTTTGAAGTGTTAGAACATTGAATGACCGGTGCGATATAAATTTGGGTATACTGCATATATATATATGGGGTTTGTTTACAAATCAACCAACGTATCATACTGAGCTGTAAAATTATACATTAAAAAAAATCTACAGAAATTGAGACTGGAGATCCAAACTTGTGAATTATAGCTGAAAGTATTGACTTTCCAGACTGAATGCCGATGTGAAGTACATTGAGTTGCTTTGTGGATGAAATGTGCTAAAAAGCTGCCTTGCCTTGCCTTGCCTAGATTCCAATCACTTCTTGATTGTTTTCTTACGACACTGTTGTGCTGTTGTACAAGGCCAAATCAGAACAACTCTGCAAGTGTCAGCATACGTGAAGCATTTTTCCATTGAAGCCTGTCCAGGATTCTTCTCATACTCAGAGAACAAACAGAACTCCTGAAGTTGTTTTGGAAAATAATAACGTGACTAACGTTCATCAGCTATCCATAGAAGCAAACTGTACAAAGGTATTTATCTGAAATATTTTCAAGAGGAGCTAATAAAAAATTCTAAAAAACATCTAAATCCAGCGTGCTCCTCAAGCCTCTTTACTTTGTTGAAAGACCAATATAGCCAGTATGGGTTCCATGAATGATGACGGAGGATAGAAACCAGAGCAGGACACTGAGCACCATGACAGAATTCCCAATTCCACATCCAAACTTTCCTTTTTGCGGATGCCTCGTCCACTTTTCATTTCTCTACGTTCTCTACCCTCTCCCTCTCTGCTTTCATTTCCCTCTCCTTTCCTTGATATGTGATCCGCTGGAGACGCTCAGGTTACAGTTTTTACAGCTTAGCCAGCCCCGTGCTCCATACATTCCTTTCTCCCCTTTCCTCTCCTCTCCCCTCCATGCCCGTTCCTTCTTCCTCCGTGATTACTCACCAGAGCTGACTTGGCCATGGCACACATTAAGCTGCAGCCAGAAGAAGGAAACACTGTCAGACTGTTAAGATTTCCAGTGGAGTGCTCACAAGGGAACATTGTGTATTTGTGTATGGGCATGTTTTTTTTTTCCCCTCTAGCTTTGGACTAACTTATTAAAAATGAAACGATGAGAGGAAATTATGTACAAATAAATATACGTTGTAAAATAGAAAATTTTCAAATTTTTGCAATTGTGTTTTGGATGGGATGAGTTACTGTACATACGATGTTATCAATTCTGCATCTGCAGGTTTAAAATAAAAAGCTTTTTTTCGTGTGTTTATGTGTGGGCCTGTTAGTGCCTTTTAAATAAATAAAAAAACAGGAAACTCTAGGTTTAGTGAGCTACGCATGAACGCGTCTTTTCTTTGTAGAAGTGTTTTAACACCCTCACCACATTTATTGAATGCAACGTCTTGTATTTACAGCAATGCCACAGTGTGTGTGTTTTCACTCCACGTCATCACAGCAGCACCGTCTGGTATTGGCCATGACACAGTGACCAAGCATTACTTGCTCAATTTATTAAATACTGAAGCTGAAGTTTATTCACTTGAATGATTAGAGTGCAAGGATTATGGAATGATACTGTTGCTACAAATGGCACTGATTATAACAAACAAACCTAACTTCTTCCTGTGTAACGAAAATCTGCTTTATAAGAATTATATAATAAAAATGGGACTAATTCACAGAACGCGCGCACACACACACACACACACACACACACACACACACACACACACACACACACACACACACACACAAGACTTACACTAAGTAGGCCTACTCCCAGCACAAGACACATTATTTGAAGTAGGGGACTGACATCACGTCCTTACAAACAAAACAACCCCTCCCCCAAAATAAAATAAACAAATAAATAAATAAATGAGGTATTAATTTAACAGTGATTATGGATGTGGTTTGCAGTAGTGTAAATCTGTTCTGCATCATCCTAAAAGATGTGTCTATGATGTTTTGACTCGTGTAGTGAGTCTTACTGGTGGCATATTATTTTCAATTACAGGTACTAAAAGAAATGTGATATTGTGGTAATTATGGCATAAAATATGTCACTGAAAGTTCTTCAAGTCTAATACTCCACTAAGAATAAGCAGATGTAAAAGAAACAATGTTAGCAAGGAAATATGCATTAAACGGTTTGTTAAAACAAAACGATGTTAATGCGCGATCACGAACTTAAATATTTTACATAAATACTGGTAATGATCATGACATTAGAATAAAAATGCATCCATACATCAAATTTGAAAAGAATTTATCCATTTTACAGTGACGGAAAGGACGCTGTGACACACGGATGCGTCTTAATTCTGCATGAGTCCAAACACGAAAAGGGTTGTTTCAGGTCTCGCTGAGAACAACTCAGTCGAACACACAATTTCCATATTAGCCTGAGTGTGATCGCCTACATGTCTACTCAGAGGAGCGTTTTGAGCGTGATTGGCCGAAATGTGCGCAAACAATGCCGAGGTGGGAGACAAAGCGACACACGGAACATCTGTCGTCAAATGCCGAGATCACTTTCTTTCTCCTCAATTAACCGCACTGGGTTCAAATATAAGCCACTAATGGAAACAACGTGTTTCGGGGATCAAATCTTGTAGGCCCAACACGGAAGACAATGTGTTCTTGTCGAGTGCGTAAACCTGACAACAGAGGCACATCTGGATCACACGCCTCTGGGCAGCGCACGCGCCTTTACTCAGCCGACATAAAACGACGTCAACGTAGCACGAGGAGGCGAGTTTTCCCACATTGATTTGTAGTAATTATGCGCACTGGATGCATGCTCTCTTTGTATCGTTGATAGTAATAATAGTGGAGGCGCGAGGTGCCTTCATAGCACACGGGATTTTCTCTCACCCTTTATTAAAGATGCATTAAAACACGGACGGCGACATTGATGTCACAAAGCGACGGAAACACACGCCTGGTATTTGTCTTTCTTCCAAACTTCATGTTAAATTGATAAGTGAACGGATAATGGTGAATATGTCGCGCCGTTGCATGGTGAAGCAGGGCGCGCGACTGAAACAATAGAACTTGGGTAATAAAAAAAAAAATCCACATTTCAAGTTAGTCTCGCATGCAACATAATATTACACTTGGGTGCATCATTTACAGTGTTAGGGGCCACTGGTGCTTTAACACGCGCACGCTCCTCTCAAGCACTCCGCGCGTAAACAGCATGCAGATCCGTTACCTTCATCTCTTCATTAATCTCCCTTTTCACCGGGTGAGCTGGTTTTCGGCTTCTTTTATTTTCCGGAGGTCTGCCCTCTTTTTCCATCTCTGCCATGTTTTCTCGCTGATACTTCTGTCAATATTTGCGGTGGCGGCGGGGGCTGGGGGGAGGGGGGTGGATGCAAGGAGCAGGGACGAGAGGCAGCGCTTTTACACTCGCCAGACGGCGGATGTCTTGGAGCTTCTGAGCGACCCGTTTGAAGCTGCTGATGCCGCCGAGGGCTGGCCGTGCCGGGCTAAGTCAGCCATCTTCTGCCTGTCTCCTCCGCGGTCCGTGCACCACTGTTGTGCCGCCTCTGTCCAAGAGTCAAAGGAGAGGTTGAGCGAAGGGGGAAAGGAGACAGGGGGAGGGGCCTACGCTGAAACATTATATGACGTGTTGATGATTTGAGGTAGACGGTGTCTTCTCAGTTTCCCATGGAGCGCAATCAGTGCAGTCGCTCAGTCCGTTCAGTGCAACTGTCTTGGCTTGGCTTGGGGGGAGTCTGCAAGAGGCGAACTGGTGCCCCCGCAGCTGCCCATCCAGTCCACAAGCTACAGTGACAATAGTGTGTCACTCAACTTAAACTGCCCATTAAATACTGTCAACCCAAATTTTATTTCCACTTAAAAATTTAAATGAATTTAAATGTTTTGTTGCACGACTTGAGTAATTCAACCACACTTTACCAATTTGGGTGCAAAGTAGAATGCATTCATTGTCTCTATATGTGCCCTGTGACTGGCTCGCGACCAGTTCAGGGTGTAGTCTGCCTCCCACCCAAAGTCAGCGGGGATAGGCTCCCGCAACTCCCCACGACCCTCTTCAGGATAAGCGGTATTAAAAATGGATGGATGGATGGAATATTTGGGTTTATAGTGGAGGGTCATGGTTGTGCTTGTTTTTAATTCCCATTATTTGTGTGTTTGACTGTTTGTCCCATTCAATAAATTTTATGGGCGACAGTGAGTTTCTCTTTTTCTACTTCACTCAAGAGTATATATGCTCGTAAATCAAGTTTTGGAGCTTAAAACAGGCAATAAATAAATAAATCAACAAAACAATAACTCTTAACTTGAAAAGCTTGTAAACTGGGGCACTCATAAGTTAAGGTGCCGGTCCTCGAGGGCCCCTATGTAGATTTTTTTTTTTTTTTTTTTTAGATGTTTCCCTTCTCCAACACACAGGATTAAAATGATCTGCTCATCACCAAGAGCTGCAGAAGCCAAGCCAAGTTTGAATAGCCAAACACACTTGTAGTCATATACAGTACGCACATAATCATTATGAGGATGATGCATTTTATGTTGATTTTGAACTGCTCCAGATGACATAAATAGCACAATTGCATGCATGTCAAACTTGCAGATTTGTGGCATTGTGCTCTGTGATAGATTAGCACTGGTGCAATGCTGTCGAATCAGCATCATCAGTTGCCACAGCAATGAGGTCCAAGTATGGCAAAGGAGAAGTGCTCACTAAAACAGATTTCAACAGATTTGTGAACAATATTTATAAAAGGCCTTTTTGTGTAGTTTTACATGTTTGAGTTCAAAGGAAAAAATATGGTATTGTATATTATATTTGATAGTCGATGTTGGTGTAGTGGTACACTCGCCAGACTTGCGTGCGGGTTCCCACTCGGTGACGATGTACATGTGGGTGTGAATGGTTGTTTGTCTCTATACGTGCCCTGTGACTTGACTGAAGACCAGTTCAGGATATAGTCTGCTCTCCGCTCGAAGTCAGCTGGGATTGGCTCCAGTTTACTCCTACACTGTTCAGGATAAGCAGTGTTGAAAAATGGATGGATAGATTATATACTGAAAAAAACTATTGCATTGTTTTATTGTATAATACAATTTTACGCCTATTTGGCAAGAATTACAAATATAAATATTATCCTCACGCTGCCGTCTTAATTTAAGACCAAGAAAACAATAACAAGGTGAGACTTATATCAGTGCAAAGTGTGACAGGAAGTAACGTTTTCGGCGTAAAATGACGTAACGTCCTGTGTCTGTCAACATGGCGGCGCGCTGTGACAGGTCGTGTGTTGTGAAACAACCAATCGCAAAACAGTGAGTTGCGCCTGTAAAAACCAAATCGATGAACAGCGTTTAAAATGTAACATCGGAAGTACTCCGTTGTAAGGTGACATTAAATATCGGCAAGGGTGTTAAGAAGTGCCGACAGTATATTAGAGAGATGTTTTCGCATGTATGGACGCGACTGCCCTGTAAAGTCGCGTCCGGACCAGTGAGGAGGACATTGAGTCTATTTTCCAGCCCAGGACCTTCAAACTGGAGTAAAGCGGTGTCCGACGCCGAGAAGATTGTGGGTTATCCAACATCTTTCATGAGCCTGCGCTGTCTACTCAGCGACGAGTTCAGTAACGTTGCCATGCATGTCAAGAAACTGGTCGGAACCCAACACCCTCTACTTAACACCGCAAGGTAAAACCATTACACTACTGTCATCTTCATCGCTTTGACTGCTCGAGAAGAGAGAGCTTGAAAAAAAATGCCTGAGCAGGTGTAAATTAAGTTCATTGCTTTAAATATTCACATGAAATTACATATCGCCTAAATGATGGAGGGGGCCACAATTTTGATTCAGTGCTACTGGGAAGCCACATAGAACCACACACTTCCTAACCTGACAAAAATGCAATTTTAAATATGCACAAATACATGAACCAATATACATCATAGTATCTTAATATGCACCATCAATGCATGTACCAAATATTCAGGCGTCCACAACAATCAAAAAATAACCACATACTTTGATTTTTTTTTCCTCCGGTGAAAAGGGCTCTTGTGCATAAAAATTACCATTGATGGAGGGACAAAGCTGCTGAGCAGCAGCCAAACTTTAATGCAAAAAGAACTCATTTTATGCACTTTTTATGAGAAAAATCAACTCACTCAAAATTTTTATATTATTGAGATTCTATGTTTGTCCCGTGTATCATTCCAAATCCGCAAAAAAAAGATGAGGCCTACAACTATTCTATGTTGTTTTATTGGGTAGATCAGGCCCCGTTAGAAGCCCAACTCTGATTTCTGCCATCTAAGATAAGATAAGAGCATGTGGGTGTACAGCAGCAACATTTGGAGGGAAGAAAGTAGAAAAAAACGTGAAGTATTTGCATGCACAAATAAATTTAAAAAAAAGAACTGTACACTGTACAGAATGCAATATAAAATATAAGATATAAGCATATATGCAACTGCATATACACTGCATAAGGTGGCTGTGCTATTTACAATGGGTGAGTTGGGGGTGAGTCTAGTGGTGATGGGTGGCACTGTACAGTGGACACCCTCTAATCATGGGAGATAGGGACTGTGAATAACAAAAATCTCACCCCTGCATTCCTTAAACATACTTCCTGAAAACTGTTCAAATTGTTCTCAAGTGAGAATATGAGTATGAATGGTTGTTTTGTGGTCACAGTTAGGTATATTTAGATGCTTTTCTTTTATTGGTTAAATAGTTATTGAACAGATGATAGAGAAATCTACGAACAAAATTGTATCATGTTTAAAGTTTCGGTTAATTTGGGCATGACATAACATACTCAGCGCAGAGGTGTCGGCCGTTTGGGCGGAGGGCCTTTTCTTGAGTAATCACGTCAAAGCAAGGGGGGCGAACAGATGGAAGAAGGCTAGATTCAATCACAGAGTGGGAATGAACAAATTGGGAACAAAGAGTTGTTGAATACCAAAAGACAGTTTGGGAATCGCTGTCGCGCCCAGGTGGACATTTGTCATCAGCAAAGTCTGTGACTTGTGTATTCGGGTAGATCAGATCACTACCGAGGGGCCGGACCGGGGGGCGCGGTATGCCAATCTCGGGGGCAGTGTCTTTCTTGTATTTTGCAATAAAAGTTCGAACCGGCGGAGAGGGAGCCGAGAGTGTGATCATCGGAGCAACTACCGTCGTTCGCTCTCAGAGATCCCCTCCCGCCGATATTGAAGACAATTTTCCTGTGTGCCGAGTCATTTCTTTAACTTTGTCCGAGAAAATCTCTGACAACAGAACAAACTCAACATGTAAAAATAGGTGAATGCTTAGCTGATAAACTTGGTATTGTTTGTGGTGTCTCCCAGGGTTTGGTGCTTGGTCCCCAGCTGTTTAACTTATACATAAACAACACATTTAATGTATCGAAATTATTAAAACTAATATTGTTTGCAGATGACACATATATATTCTCTACTAGTGACAATTATAACGAACCCGTGAGCACAGTAAATACAGAATTCGATCAGATAAAAAATGTGGATGGATCATGACAAATTCATTTCAAATGTAAGTCAAACAAAAGTATTATTGAACTATAAAAGTAACCCGGCATTGATAATACACATAGACGATGTACAACTAGAAAATGTTAAAGAATATAAATTCTTGGGAATAATAACTGATAAGCTGTCATGGAATGCCCATATCAGACATATAAGAAATAAAAAATCCAAAAGCCTCTCAATCATGAATAAAGCAAAGCCATTCTTGCTCTCAGAATATTATATTGTTCCTTTGTCCTGCCATATCTCATCTCACCCATTGTTAGGATGTGCTTGTTGTTGCTTACCATGTTGAGATGCGTCATTTCCATAACCTAGTTGGTATGTGCTTGCCAGTGGCGGATGCTGGTCTGTCAAGGAGGGGAAGCTCAATTTTGGCCGACATCATAAAATGTGTCCGTTTATATCAACGCGAATTCTACTCTCCGTTCCTTTTCAAGAAAATTATCTGTAACCCTGTCATACCAACAAGGCGTCTTTTCCAGGAACTTAACTAGTGTCCTACAACGACAGCAACTACAATAAAACCCACCAGTAATAAAAGATTAATTCGTCGCTTATCGTTTTCAACAAAGAGAGTGTCGCTAAGATGATTAGAAGTCGTCTCCAGTTCAACTTAGAACAGAATGAGAATTAAAAGTGCTCCCACGGATGCCTACACTAAAAGATCGGTGATTGGCTCATTTTGATGTCAATCAAACTGGAACACAGGCTCAGACAGATCATCCAATCTGATGCAGAAAAACTGAATGTCCGGTACCCGCCCACTGCCATCCAGTCCCAGAGATGCCGAGCATCCGTGGGCGGGACAAAAAACAGTTTGTATCCAATGACTCGTCTCCGTTCAACGCATTGGGACAACCTATCCTGAACTCTTGAGACGCTCGGCGTCCGGGCAGTCGACGCTCAGCGGATGCTCAGCGTCCACCGTTTAAAGCACAGCGAAGCTGCGGGAATGAATGAGAAGGGGGTCGCGTCGTAACCAGTAAGAAGAAGCTGATTCGGAACAAAAGTTGAGCACTTTGTAGTGCATATTTAGTCAATGACATGTACACACAATGAAATTTACATTCATATATTTGATCACTTATTCTTTGACATTTTAGGGGAAGCTGAGCTTCCCTTGCAGTCCGAGAGCAATCGCCACTGGTGCTTGCTGTTTACCATGTAGTTTTTCGATTACCATTGTTAGTATGTAATTATTGCTGAAATATACTGTATTTTATCCAGACCATTATTTTGATAAAAACTACATGTGATATACATACCGGTACATTTTCTTAATCTGCTATCTATATTAGGATGATTTGTATTGGTGTAAATTAACAATTTGGGATTTGAAAGTTAGTACAGTATGTATGTATGGTTTGTAATATAAATGTGAGATTGGGGTGGGATAAAATTA